TGTGTAAAAGTGTTTGATTAAAAAAAATAACAAAAGAGAAATACAAGAAAATATTCATATATATATATATATATATATATATATATAAATCCAGTCCAAAATCAGATTCTTGGTCTATATGATTCTCTATGGGATCGGTCACCTTTTTGCATAAAAGCATTATATTTTTCTCTATAGTTCATAAAGATATGTATCCTTATCCTTTATTCTCAAAAACTTCATAGGGAAGATAAAGAACAACAAGAGAAAGAATCTCAATCATATATGTACGTATATTTGAACTTTAAAGTGTGAGGATGATATATTTGAACGGGGTCAAGCAACAATATATTCTTCCCTTTTGGGAAACGAGAATCTAATGACCATCACTGCACAATATTCTAACAAGAAATAATTGATACACACACGAAAGCATATTACAAACATTTTGGATTTTAAGGTGAATTAAATTAAGAAGATGTGTGAAATTTATCTCATTTGTGTCAAGCTTCTTCATTTCTTGATTTGTTTGCCATATTAATTTATCAAACTTCGGACCAACTTCTTGCTATTGAAAAATATCTTGAAAGTGATGAAAGAGAGCATTGGTACCGATGTAAAACAAATTCTTACCCACATGTATTTACGGATAAAATTTGTAACAGATAAAAAATAGATATTGTAAATGAGTATCTGTAGATAATTAAGAAATACACATATTTATTGTACTTGTATGCTAATGGGATGAGTATAATTCTCATATTATCCATATCCGTTAATATTCAATTTATATAAAAATATACTTATATATATATATATATATATTAAATTTATTGGGCTTTACCTACTAATATTCTAATTCTTAAGATATTTTCAAGATTGTGTTGAACATGATTTTATTAACTTTTGTAATTTTATGTATAAATTTAATTTTATTTAAACTTTATTTGGACTTATAATACATAAGTATTGTACTTTATTATTTTTTATTTTGATTCTTGTGTAGTTGAAAAATTTTATTTTAACATAATTGCTTGAATTTTAAACTATTATTGAATGTGTTAAATTCAATTCTAAATTCACTTATTGTTATTAGTATAATTGTGAAGAATATTTAAATTTTAATTTTATGATCTTCAAATATTTTTTATGTAGATTTTATTTGAATTTAGTTATATTCTTAAAAAAAATATACTAATATTATTTTTTTAGATTTTTATAACTTTTAAAAGAAAAAAAATCTATTACAAATAACTAAAATATATGGTTAAAATATTTTATTAAATATTTTTAAAATATATGTTTTTTTAGTAAATACTGGTGATACCCATTGATATCTATGAATATTGGAAAAATATGTGAGTACTCACTTAATAAATATCCATATGGATATAAAAACGAGTTCGAGCTAAATATTTATCTAATAGAAAAAGTAATGGGAGGCTACTAACTGTTCCCACCCTATCCCATAGACATCCCTAAATGCATGTGGCTCCTTTTATATTTTGATGGGAAGACACTAATGTAGATACTTTGGCATCGTTTATTGAATAATATATGTATATAACATCTTCTAAATACATGCTTGGTATGTCAAATTAAGTTCTCCAACAAAAGATTAATGATCGATCAATAAGAATAAATAGATATTTTATATCAATCACATAAAAAAAAACTTAATCAACTTTTTTTTTCTCACTACAAATGAGTTGACTTAAACCTGATCATATGGGTTATCGCCCAGCTAACAAAATCAACCATATCTCTATCTTAGTTTTCATCAGTGAACTCATCTACGTTAGTTTCCATGTAGGTACACACCGTTTATTTAAGTGATCCGATACAATTTAAAAATGTTTTAAAGAGTTTCTCAACTGAAAATAAAAAATATTTTCATCATATAAATAAACTCTCAAAAATATTTTTAAACTTGTATCCAAATATACTCATAATAAAACACGGTTGCCTAATCATTGCTAATTGAACTTGTACTTAGCAAGAGCATAATCAACGACAATGTCAAGCTCTATCCCACCGACTAGTCCATCGTTGTTGGTGTCAGCTTTCCGAAGACAATGACATGCTCTCCATGCGGGTAACTTGGAACCAAATTCCTTGAAAGCTTTCTTAAGATCATTCTTGCTCAGATAACCGTCTCCATCACCATCTGCTTTTTTCAATATTTCCCTTATATGCTTTTCCGCCTCAATCATGTTTTGAGGCATTCCCTTCGTGTTGAACTCAGGCATTCTCTTTGGGATGAACACAGGCATGTTTATTTTGTTTTCTTCTCTAATGTTTATGGAGATGAGTGGGGCTATGGTGGTGGAAATAACGAGATGAGATGAAAGGAGTTATATAGCAAGCGTCTCACATGTGTCTGATATTAAATATTTAGACGTTAATCTATTCTTTATAATTTCACGTTTGGTTCCTATAAATTTTTTATTACAAATTTGATGATTTTTTATTTCAAAATAAAATAATGTTGATTGATCATTGTCATGTTATTTAAAATTAAATAAAAAATGTTTATGAATGTCTATATATGTAATACCTACAGTCAATTATTCATGCGTTGAACAATAGTAATATCAAAAATTTAAAAAAAATGATTTAATAGATTATAAATTCTGATTAAAATAAGAAAAACTGTAATAAAACGAAAAATAGTTTCGTATATGACACTTATTATCAAACTTTTCAACTTTATTTTCAATGACATGATAATGGTGAATCAACATTTCTTAATTTTAAAATAAAAAATGGAGACAACTATAAAATACATCTTTCTTTTCAATTTGACTACTCAAATAAAATTAAAAAAAATAATGCTTTATATATGTAAATCTTATTTTCTTTTAAAATAAAAAATGTTCTTATTTAATACAATATATATATATATATATATATATATATATATAT